TGTCATGATGTGTAAATTAAAAATTGTTATTTTACGGGGGTGCTTAACTTTTTTCCAGGTGTATATTATGCTGCTGTCTGTTGTGTGTTTCTGTCTCCTGTTCTTTACCATATCTCGTATTTTTATTTTTGTTTTCTTTACCACTTCTGTGGTTGTGTGTCTCATAGTCTTTTGATGGGCCTTGCATCCCGGGGATGGAAGTTTCGAAACTCCAAGGGTTCTAAAGTGATATGCCAAGCCTAATTTACCAGTGATTTGGCACTCAAATATGAAGGCTTGCATGACTATAAATATTTTTCAAGACTGGTTCAACAATTTCTCTTCTGTCCTGCTGTTGAAAAGTACTGTACCAAACGTAATATTGCCAACAAAATATTGCTCATCTTAGACAATGCACCAAGCTATTCGGTAAATTTGAATGGTCTTTCTGATAATGTAAGAGTTGAGTACATCCCCAAGAACACAACTGCATTGCTCCATCTAATGGATCAAAGTATCATCTCCAATGTCAAGAGATATTACTTACGGAGAACTCTGAAACAACTGATTAAAGCCACTGATGGAAAAGATGAACCTACAGTTCGTGATTTCTGGAAGAAATATAACATTATGGATGGAATAGACATCATCACCAAGTCGTGGGATGAAGTGAAGGAGTCAATTGTGAATGGTGTGTGGAACAAAATATGGCCAGAGTGTATCAACGACTTTACAGGGTTCCCCAAGCAGAAAGTGCTGGGAAAGTGTACAAAGACATAATGGCACTTGCAAGACAAGCTGGTTTTGAAGTTATCATCGAAGATGATGTGGTTGAGTTATTAAAGTCTCATAGAGAAGAAATGTCGAATGAGGATCTGATAATGTTGGAACAAGAGTGAGCTGCGGAATAGGAGAACGTTATTGAAACACCATCCGCGCAACTTCAGTTTACTACCAATCACTTATCCCAATCCTTTGTCCTCGTAGAAGAAGTGGTGCAAATCCTTAGTGTTAATGATCCCAGCCGTGAACGCAGCCTAACAGTTACAGGAGGACTACATGATGTCATGCACTGCTACAAGGAACTGTAGAAGCAAAAGACGTAGCAGAAACAACAAACCCTCGACGCATTCTTTGTCAAAAGAGCTGAGTCTACACCACATCAAGATTATGGTCATAACTTACAGGGTGAGGCAGACATCAGTACCAGTACTGAGTCTTCCTCTCTGTGTAAAATTTAATTATTTTTGTGTTCTGTATCTACTGTTATTTTTGGTGAGTAAAGCTATGCCATATACATTTATGACATAAACATGTGCTTAAAAATGTTTTCTTACATTCATTTGTGTGTTTTTATTACTTTTGTGGATCAAAACAATTTCCGGAAAAACACATCTACACTTATAGCATGGGAGTCAATGGGAAAATAAGGTTGGAGTTACGGAATTTCGCGTTACGGAAGCTTTTATAAGAAATCCCTTCCGTAACGCGAGGATTGCGTGTATATAATTCGATCAGTGTTACATTACCCTTACAGTATAAATTTTGACCTACGTATATTTATTTACATTCAATTTATTGCTTTATGTGTTAGATCAAGTAATCAGTGTAAACTTCAATACTAACCTGTAGTATTATGAAAATGAGTCTAATTCGATCATTTTAAATGAAATCGTTCAAAATGTTAAAAGAGAAACAAGTATAATATATGTATATATATACATTTCATTCGATTAACAAAACTGAAATAATAATAACACAGTTACAGGCGACACATTGGTACGTACGACAGAAAAAAGTTATACTCGGAACGATTGTTTGTTTGTTTTGAATTTCGCGCAAAGCTACACGAGGGCTATCTGCGCTAGCCGTCCCTAATTTAGCAGCGTAAGACTAGAGGGTAGACGAGCGTACGTCTATACTACCACCCCAACCCGCCGAACCTACCTTCGGGGTCGTACCTTACTTTTACCCTTTAACCGAAACGTAGTTAGGGAGG